AAGCTTTATCGAGCAAGAAATTTGACATGAAAGACTTGAGTCCTAAGAAGAAGATTCTTAGAATAGAGATTCATCGAGATAGAGGCTCAAGATGACTGTATTTATCTCAAAGAGACGATGTTGAGAAAGTGCTAGATTGGTTTGAGATGAGCAAAGCAAAGCCTGTGAGCACTTCATTGGCAAATCATTTTAAGTTTTTTTCGGAACAATGACCTAAAATAGATACATAAATCGAAGAAATGACAAATGTTTTATATGTCAGTGCAGTTGGTTACTTGATACATGCAATGGTACGTGCTTGCCCTGATTTGACTCATGTTGTTAGTCAAGTCTGCAAATACATGTCTAAACAAGGAAGACAACATTGGGAAGCAGTCAAATGAATTTTCAGGTATTTGAAGGATGCTGTAGGACATGGAATTATTTTTGACAGTTAGCGAAATGATCCTTTAGTTGTGGGATACGTGGATTCAGACTATGCAGGTGATTTGAATGACAGAAGATCTATAACTGGGTATGTGTTTACTCTTGGTGGAGGGTCTATGTGTTGGAAATCAAGAATTCGGTCTATTGTGGCATTATCTACAATTGAAGCTGAGTACATGACAGTAGCTGAAGTTGCAAAAAAAGTCTTATGACTTACTGGGCTAGTAAAGGAACTGGGTGTTGACAAGGTGGAGTTCAGTTGCATTGTGATAGTCAACATGTTATTTATCTGGCTAAGAACCAGGTGTACCATGTGTGAACTAAACATATTGATGTCAGGTATCACAAGATCAGAGAATTGATTACTTCTGGTGACTATTGTAGAAGTTTCATACTGATGAAAATGCAGCTAATATGTTGACTAAGTCAGCTACTATCAACAAGTTCTTGCATTACATGGACTTATTGAATGTTTGCAGTTGCTAGACAGCATGGTAGCCCAACCCACTTCGGTGCATGTGAGAAACTTCAATGTATTTTATTTCTCTTACGGGGTTGGATATTCGTCAAGGTGGAGCTTTGTTAGGTATGACTCATATATCATATAAGAGACAGATCCTGGAGCGGAGCTGAGCGAGCTGAAGCATCTGTTCAATTTGAGGAGTTTTTCGTTATGTGGGTTGAGGGTGTGAGGGCAACGCATCCGCAGTATGATACAAGGGTAATTCTGTAATTACATATTGTACTTCAGGGTTATATATATGTATGTTTGTAACCCTAGGTAATTACTATGTTGTATCTCATATTCTGTATCTTGTGCACTTTTCTGGAATAGAAAAAAAAGTCGCTACTCTGCTCCCGAGGACATATGCATCTTTGCCGAACTTCGTTAAATCTCTGTGTGTTCTTCTGGATTTGTGTTGATTCTTGCTTTTCTTCGCCCTAATTTCTCAACACATTTGAATCTTTATAAATATTCAAATTATATATAAACATTCTATTAGATAGTTTCACGCATTTATTTAAGGACAAAATTTTAAAAGGAGCATGTTTTTAGTGAAAAATAGGCGAGGAGCCAGAAAAAGAAATTTACAAGGGAGCATATACTCCTCCTTAGGAGGCGTTTATAAAAATAATAATAATAAAAAAATCAAGGGGTTTCTTGAAAAATTAATTTTTTTATTTTTTTATATGTGATATATTTTATTTTAAACAATATAAATATTAATATATATTACGTATGATTATAAATAGATTTGTTAATATTATTTACATTAATGAAAATATTAAATTTGTTAATTCGTTTTAACATTAATTATATTTTTTTATTAATATTCAATTAATAAAAAATAATTAAATAAATTAATTAACTAAACAAATGTGAAATTCATAAAATTTATTTCATATTAAAATATTCTTATAAAATAATATTTATGCAAAAAAAGAAAATCTTTTACGTCGGGGTGGAATGACACCTGAGACCAGCGTACATCTTTTACGCGGCTAGAAGTATACATTATAATTGAAGACGATATAGAAGCACACCACCACTCTAGACGATAATATTGAAAAAGAATTTGAAGAGCATCAATTGTGGTGCACTTCGATATCATCGCCTTTGGTCGTGGTATACTTCTAGCTGCTTAAACACTTTGTTTAACATGACAACTGTGTCAAAAACATCAGCTGCGACATCGACCATTGAAACCCCCGTCTCAATATATGTTGGGCTCAGGCCTCATTCTACCCCGACATACAAGAAAATATTTTTGTGTAAATATTATGTTACCATAACATTTTAATATGAAATTAATTTTTAAAATTTCATATTCTTTAATTAATTAATTTTGTACAATTATTACTTTTATTAATCAAATATTTAATTAAAATTTGATTAATACCAAAATTAATAAATAAATTTAATATTTTCTTTATTTTAATGAATATTAACACATCTATTTATAATAGTACTTAATGTATATTAATATTTATATTATTTAAAACAAAATATATCACACATTGAAAAAAATGAAAAGTTAAATTATTATTATTTTTTATTTCTTTTTACCTTAGCTCCTACCCTCACTAATAAATATGCTCCTTCTAAAAATTTGGCTTTTCTATGATAACTTTTTTTAGTGGTAGGATTTGCCCAACTTACATTTATGCTAAGCCTTTATTCAAACAATGTATTTTTCATAATAATTATATGCAATACACTATATTAATTCATAGTTATACTTTTGATCCTTATGTAAAATTTATGACTTGCATGAAATGATATTTTCCTTCAAATACTTTGAATTATAATGAAATTATTTATTTTTCTAAGCTTCATAGCTCCCTGAATTATCACTTCATCTGTTGTTATACATAGAGAAAATAATGAAGTTTAACATGAGGGGGGATCTTGCTTTGAATTTGCTTCTTCATATTTTGATCTTTAGTTTTGGAGTAACTTATAAATCATGTTAAGCTAACATTATTATTGATTTTATGTTTTGCATGTCAACTCTAATGTTTACTAGATGTTTCGTAATTGATTTAATGAAATAATTTTGCATGTTTTCGTACAATTTACTTGTATGACCTTGTTGCACTTCCATTGAGTTTGGTTGTGTTGCATGTTTTTATTTGGGTTATTAAGATGATTTTGTTTATTCTCGGAGCCGGATACAGTCAGGGCGCCACTCGTCCTCAGATACAACCCTAAGAGGGAAAATTGGGGACGCCGATGACTGTCTTGATAGAAAACACAGCCAAAACTCAACCCTGACATAAGGAAAATACATATATATATATAGTAGATAACTAGAAGGAGGAGGCCCCTCCCCTTGAGTAGCAGCCTTAGCCCATAAACATGGACTGGTTGGCACTGCTCCCCTCTTGGCTGAACCGGTTTAGCTGATCCAGTCAATTCAACCCTAATCAATAGAATACTTGCAAGAATGTCCGACGAAAACAAGAGAAGACAAAGTAGGCAAAAGTTGGCTTCAATATGCTGGCAATAATCAAAATAGAGGAACATTCATACTCATCAACACTGATTAACCAAATTTCATATTTCAAGTATCTGGCCTATAATTTGGAAACTTTCTTATCAATAGTCCTATTAAGAGTTACACCATTATTATTTTTAACCATGGTTGTGAAAACCGAACCGGAGGTCAAATCGGAAGAAGAAAATGTTCAAGGTTTACTGGTTTGACTGCAGTTGAACTAGAGGTTGAACCGGATAATGTAATAAATTATAAATTTATTTAAATATGACATGAATGATATATTTAAAAAAAATTGATTACTAAAATATAAAAAATATATATACAAATATTTAAATAATAAACACCACAATAATTTCCAAAAAATTATTCTAAAATTTAATAATTACTTTTTAAAAAAATTAAGTATGAAATATAAAAAACTCATTACGATAATTTTGAAAAAATATATGTAATGAATAAAAATTAAATATTATTAAAATCTAAGAGTAAAATCTTTCAAAGATATGTTGGCTGCTCTTCCTCCCATCCCTAAATCCGTCACTTGGCACTGAGGAATTGTAATCATTTCTTTCACCAAACTCCATTTATTAGTTGTTGGTTTCCACTTTCCAATGTCATTTATCTCCATTGGAAACCCCTCTCCATTGCAACCTCCCTATGCAAAGCCCACCTTATCTTTCCAACGCCACTTAAGTATTAAAAAAAATACAATTTTCGGTCAAACCGGCCAGTTTTTGCCGGTTCAACCCGTTTCAATGTCAGTTCAATCCAGCTCGATGCGGGAGCGGTTATTAAGCTAGCCCGAACCCGACCACTAGCCGGTTCACGGTCGACTGATCGAACCTGCAGGTTTGCAGGTTCGGTCTAGTTTTCTAAACCATGCTTTTAACAATTTTTTTTTCTTAAATACAGACTAGGTTAGTTTTGTCCTTTACACATGTTTTCCTATCCCTGCATCCCTCCTTGATAGTGCTTTCCCAGCTCGCTTCTCTGCAGTACGCATCACCTGAGTCCTTTTTCCATTAAACATGTATCCGACACAACTTATCTTATAGATTCTGATGAGACTTTCTCCTTTTTGTGCAAGTAAACAAGGCAGAAAATCTCAATAAAAGCAAGATAAATTTCTTTTTTATTATAAAAGGTTAAGACTATTGTGGCATTTCCATGCATATAAAGTAGAATAACTTCTCTTTTATAGTACCATATTCAGATTACACTAAACAAGGACAAATGGAGAAATAATAATCCACAAACGACACCCCAAATAATTGTAATAAAGCTTCCGGTGAAGATGACCATGATGATGACATTTTCTACATAAGATAACAATGCATGTCGAATAATAACTAACCAAAAGTCCTTAAATTAAGTTCAATGTTCCCATCCCCTGACCAAAATTTTCTCAACTTCGCCTACTTTACTGAAACCGACCTCAATCCCAATCCTTTCTAAGCGCAATCAGTTTGCCAACAACACATTTGACGAAATGTCCCACAAGGCCAAAAAACAAAAAAAGCAAAAACCAATGAAGAGATAAAGCTCGGCGTGGATAAGAATCAACTTATCTACCGGATTGTGTGCGTGTTGAAGAAGATAAGGGCTGTGCTCAGTGGCAAGGCGGTTGGTGTATCTCGGGCCCGTTTTGCTCGATTCCTCCATTGAGAAAACCCGTATGCAGCGAAGGATTCGCCGACGAGCGGTGGAGGTGTAGGGGAAGGGATGTCGGCGGGGGAGGGCTGAAAATCCTGCGAAGGAGAGATGGTGAGAAAGAAGTGCCATTGAGAATGGACTCCCGGAAATTAGTTAGCCCGACAGTGGCTGCGGCGTGCGTCTGGGTGGTGTAAACGAGTCTGAGTTAAGCCCGAGTTAAGTTTGATTAATTTTATTGAGTTCAAATTCGAGTTCGTGTTTAAGTTCACGAGTTAGACTCCGCTCACGTGTCTTTTTGTTTTTTTTTGTATAAAAAGGAGAAATAATATTAATTTAAAGTGATAGTATGATAAAATGTTATATAGAATGAACTGTTATGTTATAATAAAAAGTGGTTTCATATAAAATACAAAATATTATTTTTAAAATAATTTTTATAGTTTAAAGATAAAGTATTTAAATTTAATATATTTTTAATGTATTTTATATTAATATTTTAATAGGAGTTAGCTCATGAGCTAACGAGTCAAGTCGAGGCTAGCTCAAACTTGGTTTGCTAGCTCAAACTTGGTTTGTTAGCTCATTCAGCTCAGTTCACGCCCCACTTATCGAATTGAGCTCAAACCGGCTCACGAGTCAATTTGACTCACTTACATCCTTAGTGGGTGGCAGCTAGGTGGAACCAAATATTTTGAGCAAATTTTTATTTTTTAAATTAGAAAGATTTACAAACACAACACACAAATTTTATGTATTTACATATCACATACATAAGCTTCTGTATTTACACAACACACAAGGGGGGTGGGTCTCATATTTATAATAAATTTAAGTTATATTATGAAATATTAATAATTCCCTTTCTTTACTATTGATCGACAATCATAATTGTCAAAGTAGTCATTACTTTCACCAAATCCTTCATGATCGAATAGTCATTTTGCTCGCTCCTTTACTAGCCAGTCGTTTGTTCGCTTATTCGGTCAGGTTGCAAGACTCGATCGGTTAAACGATTTGCTCCAGGTCAACTGAGAGTTCTTTGTTCTCACCGGGGTTGCTTCTTCTCGTGTGTCCAGTTCGAAGCTATTGGATATACTTCAATACATTTTATTCGCACGATTAAAAGTCAAAGACATCTTTTACATAGTGCTAAAAAGTCCCCTATTTACATATTAAGCGCCAAACTTCACTATTTATAAAAATAAATATTTACATCCATGCCACTCAATTTCCATGTTTTCACATATCATACACCAAAACTTCAATTTTCACATTAAAATATACATGAAAATGTTTATTTGATATTTTAAGAATTAAAATAATGATTTTTTTTAATATGATGTGAAAGATTTGAGTGGCATGAATGTAATAAGTAAAATTGAGGCGTTAGATATGTAAACACATGGACTTGGTGGAATGTATGGAAATGCACCCTTATAAAAAATAACACTTCACTTTCATTAATGCATGAAGCACTTATTAAGGCCGTGCTTGGTAGCATCATGTTAATAGAATTAGCCACAAATTTTACTTAAATCAAGCCAAATATATCAAAAAAAAAAAAGGGGGGGAAATTAAAACCAACGTTTCGTTAAATCAAATTTTCAAGAGTTTTGTTTATTTCTTTTTGTATGGTTGCTTTATGCATATTTTACGTCATAAATTTGGATTTAGTAAATTCAATTATGAGGCAGATGTCACTTGCTGCGAGCTACGCTAGGGCAGACGAACGGGAGTTTAAACTCATCAATTCTCACTAGATTCGGTCTCCCGAGGAACACTATTAATATAAGTGGTCTTCCTAAGTTGATCGATGCGGCAGATGAAAGGGAGGGGAGGATTTCACGGGTCGCGGAGAGGAATCTAGGCAGAGAAATGAGGGCATATAGTGTCTTTCGACATTATTAAACGCAGATCGTGTGGGCGACCCCGCGATCCGCGTCTAATACCTATTATTCTAGATTTAAAACATGTGAATTTATCGGATTTATTAAATGTTATTTAAACTAAATCTTATATGCAAAGGAAGTTTGGGTGGTAGGATATATTTATAATTAAATAAATATATGAAAAGGACATAAGGGTTATAATCTAACTTGATCGGTTTTAAATTATAAACTCTATATAATATCTCTTATATTTAAAGCTATAAAACTCAACCAATCAATAATTTTTTAATGTGATTTAGACATATTTCAAATAAAACTAAATCCATAAAACACACTTAAAAGCAATAGATCAATTTCGTTCTAACAATAATTTAAGGAAATAATATTATTGCTCTCATACAATTTCTTATATAATAATTTGAATTTGAGATCACTTTTTATTTTTAATTTTTATTTTTATTTTTTTTACCGATACCCTAAAGCTAAAAGGTTTATTAACGATACCTTCTATTTTTACAGTGATATATTCCATTTTTATTTTGAAACATTCCATTTTTAGAGTGTTAATAATTGTTTGTCATACCTTTTGTCGTCTAGAGCAACTAAACATAATATATTGTCGGCATTCTTCCTCTCTTCTATAAAACAAACAACAGTAATAACACTGTAAAAATGGAATGTTTCAAAATAAAAATATATTTTGTAAAAATATATCTCAATAACAATACAATAAGATCATAATAACATCTTAATAATACAGTAATAACACCGCAAAAACAATGCAAAATAGACGTGTTATTGGTGTGATTTTTATCAGGCGTTTGTCATTGGCGTGTTTTTTGCAAAATAAAACCGTAAAACTGCGCCAATAATATAGTTTTTTTATTCGGTGGTGTTATTGTGATATTATTTTATATCGTTTTGCGGTGTTATTGGAATGAAGCTTTGGTGTTATTAGCGTGAAATTTATGCGGTGTGTTATTGGCTTGTTTTTTGGCATTGTTCCGGTGTTTTTCGGGTATTATTTCTGCAGTTTTGCGGTATTATTTGAGAGTTTCCGCTGCATTGTTGTTGTGTTATTATGATATTATTAGCACGGTATTCCAGTGTTATTGAAGGGTAACATAAGTGTTATTGTGGTGTTTTTCTTCTGCGGTATTATTAAGACAGTTATTTGTGACCTTATTTGGGAGTTACTCATGTATTATTGGCGGAGAAGCCGATGTGTCATTGTAACTTCTTTTAAATGGGGTGGTGTTATTAGAAGGAAATGAATGTATTATTGTGGTGTTATTGAAATAATATTTGAATAAATAATAATTTATATTCTTATTAACTGTTTTTTTCCTTATTTTGTTAACAATTCTACCCAAAATTAATATAATTTTTTCGCTTATGCAATAAACAAGCCGACTTAAACTCGTTTACTTAATTAAGCTCAAGTCCATACCCAAGCTCAAACTAATTGTCTGAGGCTCGAGTCGACTCATTTACGCCTCTAGGCACGTGATAGTTTAAATCACTTGGTTTAAGAAGATATTATATAATATATGAAGGTTTTATCTTAATTTTACTTTAAAAATGTTAAAATAATATTAATATTAGATTCACAAGGTGTTAATCGAATTTTATTAGGTTAGATATTCAAATGTATATGTTATTTTTACAATTTAGGTGTACATAATATATTTAAATGTACAATTTAGGTTTTAGATATTTAAATATATATAAGAATTGGGTGGTATGTGTTAATTTGATTCTGTGTATTTCTATATTTAGCTAAAGGCTATTATATAAGGAATATTTGAGAAGTTTATAAGTATAAAATCCTTAAAAATTATACAAGTGGTGTTTCTTTTTATTAAATTGTTATAGAGGTATTAAAATGCATTTTAATGTTATTTA